TAAAAGAGGTTGGTCAAATTTTGGGGTGCAATACAATGCAAATTAATATATGATAGTTACTATTACATTAAAATAATGGGAATCTACAACACAACTAGCACATAAGTACATAAGACACCCTATTGCACTTGCATACTCCAATTGATCCACTACTCTTCCATTGTTCTTTTGAAGTTTGACGACATGACCAAATGGAGTGGTTACATCCTTAAAGTTTATGTGTTTGAATTTATCAAGCATTTTTTCAATATAATGTGTTTGACTAAGTTTGTAACTGTTGAAAAGTATATTTCCGACAAATATTTTTAATATTGTATCCACAGAGATTGGTGTTACTACCGCCGTTCTATAATTGCGATTGTTGTAAGTTCAAAAGGTATTCAGATTGTTTGTTGTTGAATAAATCGTTCTTTTTACTCATAAGAAAAATGGGATAATAAAAATGGTTTTAGAATAAAGTTTAGAAGCCTTGTCAAGATTGAGTTTCATTATCTTTGTTCTTTATGTATTCTTAATATCACATGCATGCATTCAAACTCCATTGATAATATTCAAATGTCCTCTCAATAATATTTATGTCTAAATAAAATTGTGATAGTTACTATATAAATCCTTAGACGATCTCTCCATCTAACTATTGATATAATAATCTTGAATGCTTAACACAATAGAAAAAGTAGTGAATAAATCTATCTCTATAATTTATTCTCTACTTGGAAAAATATTTTAGTTCAAGAATCAAACTACCTTTCTCAACAATAATTCAATTCCAATTTTGTAATGTAAAGAGAAAAAATATTATTCCTTATCAAAGATGAAGTTTGTTACATGCAAGGATACAAATGTTACATAAACAACATAGGATAATTACTACCTCAAGCTTGACAAGAAATGAATTTAGCTACTCATCATCTTCCTTGATTCCATAGAAAATTCTTCAAGAAGTTCTTCTTGCATGAAGCTTCCTCCAAGAAAACAAGAAAATCTCTCTAAAATCTCTCCAAAATCTCATACAAACCTAAGAGATACTAAGACTCAAGGGTGGAATGATTATGTCCAACATGCAAGGGAAAAGTGCAATAAATAGGCTATGGGGCGCCACCCTACAAAAATATGGTTTTACTTCCAAGACAGGACATGTTTCATTACTTTTCATATGGCTGAAATGCACTCAGTTCGCGGTGCGAAGGGAGGTCGCGGCGCGAACTGTCAAAAACAGAATTGCTTGCTTTGTTGCTTCGCATTGCCTTTGCCGACTTTGTTCTTAAAGCATTGCTCCGGAGATCTTTTTATGCAATCATTCTTTTCTTGACAAAAATTCTACAAGACTTAAAGAAAAAGTGAAATATCTATTCGAACAAAACAAAATAACTAAAATTGAATGTTTTACTAAATTGTGATAAAAACTTGTGTGAATTTAATAAGAAATCGGTAAAAAGGGACCGATAAAATATATATAAATGAATACCAATTGGTCCCTAACAGTAACCCCCATTATTTTTCTTTACTTTGATTCGTAAAATTGTGTCACTAATCCAAGATCTTTCATCTTGAATGTGGAAGTTAGAAACCTTTTTGTCTCTAAAAATCCATCCATGTTGTTATTAATTATCAACATGTCATCAATATATATACAAAGGAATATTAAAATATTTTTCCGTACCTTTGTGTATAAACACTTGTCACAAGAATTGAGAGTAAATCCATTTGAAAGTATGACAGGAGCAAATTTTTGACGCCATTGTTTTGGTGCTTGTTTTAGTCCATATAGGGATTTGACAAGCTTACGCACCTTTTGTTTATTTTCCGAAAGCATGTAGCCTTCTGGTTGTTCCATGTAGATTTCCTCATCGAGATCTCCATTTAAGAATGTTGTTTTAACATCCATTTGATGAACTATAAGGTCATTCAAAGAGGCTAAGGCGAATAGTACTCTAATTGTTGTTGTTCTTGCCACTGGTATATATGTGTCAAAGTAATCAGCACCATCTTTTTGTCTAAATTCATTTGCTACTAATCTTGTCTTATATGTGTTCATGTACCGTCACTATGATACTTCTTTTTAAACACCCATTTGCATTCTAATGGACCTTGATCCCTTTGGTAAATCAACAAGTTCCCAAGTGTGATTTGATGTGATTGAATATATTTCATCTTGGATAGCATCCTACCAAAAGGAAGAGTCCATTGAAGCCACTGCTTCCTTATAAGTCATCCTCAGTTGGATTAGGAATTGATGGTAAGTTAGGATCTAAGACATAGTGAACCTTCTGAGAGGTCAATAGGAATTTCATCTTATCTTGCCATCGGACGTAATGGGTTCCATCAAAGCGATCACTACTATAAAACGCGCAAACAACAACGTTAGGTTTACAACGGATTCATATACACCTTGCAATAGGTTATAATTTTCGCGTTCAGTGAGTAGCTGGATTTATAAACAGTAATTTAATGACAGTTGTCTTAAAAAAATCATAGTAATAAATGATGTGTAGCAAACATCGATTCCCGACAACTATATTTTTTCTATTTTCTATAGTTCATTAAGCGTGTGTCACTTAATTCCATTATTTAAAAAATAAATTATAAATAATTTTACAACGGTGAAGTAAACCAACTGTTGTAAAATTTGAAAGTTATTTAACTATGGGTTTACATACCGACTAATGTGATATGTTTGATGATTTCTTTTTCATGGTATGTCATTTTTCCAAAATAAATTCTGCATTAATCTGAATTAACTTTAAAGTCGGTAGACCTAGAAAACCCTTCAAAAGACTACACTATAAGCTCAACAGGTTTTACATCCCTTATAACAAACAACAAGTCGAGGTTAATAATAATAATAATAATAATAATAATAATAATAATAATAATAATAATAATAATAATAATAATAATAATAATAATAATAATAATAATAATAATAATAATAATAATAATAATAGTAATAATTTTATTATTATTATTTGATCTGACCTGATCAGAACGGGATCGCTGACTAGCCACACTCTACTGGACTGCTACCTGTTCACCGGTGTTGAGGAAAAAGGTGGGGGGTGTACCTGCAAGACACTCGGATGCCAAAGTAAGAAATTGGGCAGAGTGAGAGCAAATACAGAAAGTCGGTAGAATTGAATTACCTGACCCTCTTGTGAAATAGGGTATTTATAGAGAGACCCCAGCGTTGGGCCAACGGTCACTTGTGTTGGGCTGGATTGCCAGACCCAACCCAGGTGACTGCTATGACTTATGTGGCGTAGTGAAGACCAGGACGTGGTCTTCGCCCTAGTTCAACTGCTCTGTGAACTCCGGAAAGTGGGTTGACCTGCTCTTTCGGAGGTGGACAGTTGGTGGATGACGTGTCCCCGCGGAGGGGAGCACGTGGAGAACGTGTGAAGGACACGTTGTCCTGCCCGACAGGGGAGCAGGTTCTGCCCGCGGAGGGGCAAGTTCTGTTCGACGGAGGCATAGTCTGGGTGACGGTGGAGTCTAGTGCTCGACACAGATGGGGAAGGTCCTGCCCGCGGAGGGACATTACCTGTCCGCTGGGGACCCTGTGCCCGACGGATGTGGCCTGAGCTGGATTGGACTTGACAGAATATTAATGGGCTAAGCCTGTTCGTCCAAGCCAGGGCCCAGGCCAAAACATTATTATTATTATTATTATTATTATTATTATTATTATTATTATTATTATTAAATCAAATTAAAAAACAAATAAAAATTCAACTTTTAAAACGAGTATATTTCAATTCAAGTGACAATTTACTAAATAAGAATATTCTCTTTTTATTTTTATTTTTTATGGTTGTCAAAAAAAATATTCTCTTTTTATTTGTATATTTAAAAACATTCTACATTATAAAAAGAGAACAAAATATAGCATTAATATAGGGACATTGACTGTCTTCACAAATACATAGTCAAAAAAAAATTATTGTATGCAACTAAAAATAGAAAAAGTTTTCTTTTGGTATAAAAAACAAGGAAATATTTTTCCACTAATGTTACACATATGAAACATATCTCAAATTTAGAATAACAATAATAATAGTCTAATTTCCTTCTCTGTCAAAAAATAATAATATAATTTCTTTCTTTAATTTCCCGAGCCTATCCATGATTGCAATTCTATATAGTAGTAGAAAACAAATTTATTAATTAGTAATTTATCTATTGTATTAATAATATATTTTAAAGCTCTAATTCAAATTATTCTTTCGAAAACGCAAAAGCAAGCGACTGAGATGAGAGGGTAAGCGATTTTTTCATCTTAATTAAAAAATTTAGATTCAAACTTAATTCTGAACACATAGTAATAAACATTTTCGAGAGAGAATATTTTTATTATCTTAAAGAAAAAGCTAATAAGGTAACATCTCAAATCCTCAAAATAATAATATTTTAATTTCTAAAATTAAATTATTTTGAAAATAACATTCAATAAAATGCTAAAAACTTCACGGACAACAAAGAGATAGAACATCAAATTGAAAAGGATTTAAATTAAAAGCATTGAATGAGAAAAACAGTTTCAATTACGAAATAAATAAAGATTTAATGATACTGAATGGTCAGTGTAGTTTTATATATAATAAATTAGTGTATTTCCTTTTTTTTCAAAAAGTAAAGCTACTTAACCTTCAATCAAGTGCTCTTGGGTTTTTAGATTTATCAAATAATTATTTATTTAACATATATAATTTAAATTAATTATTTAAAATAAATAAATAATTGATTGTTTAGATTTAAAGATTTAATTATTGTTCTAAAAAAGTTTAAGAACAAGTTTCTTTTGTTTATTGTTGAATTTCTCTCTCTTTTAGTCATCGTTAGACATCAACCACTCAACAACTTTAACCCACCACACCAACTCTATAATAACCCCTTCTCTCACCCTTTTCTCAACACATCTTCCCACTCCATTCAACTCATCAAAAAAACACAAATTCATCCAAATCCAATAAAACTCAATTGTAACAAACAAAAACAACAACATGGTTGAGAAGAACTTAAGGTTCATGTTCCTTCTCTCTTTGTTTGTTTCAACAACCTTATCGCAACAAACACAAACATGTCAGACACATACCTTCACAAACAACCAACGATTCACCTCATGTCGCGATCTACCTCAACTCACCTCGTACCTTCACTGGACATTCGACCAAACAACAGGAAAACTCGACATAGCATTCCGACACGCAGGAATCACATCAGCGAACCAGTGGGTCTCATGGGCTATTAACCCTAACAACGATCTCACATCCTCCATGACTGGAGCTCAAGCTTTGGTTGCAATTCCACAATCTAGTGGTTCGCCAAGAGCTTATACTTCTTCGATTGCGAGTCCCGCTACTCAATTAGCGGAGAGTAGAATTAGTTACAATCATTCGAGGTTGAGTGCTACACATGTGAATGATGAGGTTACGATTTTTGCGACGATTAATCTTCCTAGTGGTGTTACTTCTTTGGTTCATCTTTGGCAAAACGGTCCTGTGTCTGGTGGTTCTCCTCAATCACATGCCACGGATAATAGTAATTTAAGTTCGAAGGAGAGGTTGGATCTTCTTTCTGGTGTCACTCAAGCTGGATCAGGTGGAGGTTCACTAAGTAGAAGAAGAAATGTGAGTATTTCTTTTCCTCAAAAATTGTTTTTTCTTTGTGTTGCATCACCTTAAATTATATGGTTCATATAGGTTTGAATTGCAGTTTCGATCGTGATTCAAGGTTACTATTAGGTTTTAGTAGTGTTTGTGTGATTTTGCAGTGACAAAATTGATTTTGAACTGATTTTGGTTAAAGATGGGTTAAAATTGATGAATTGATCATGTAAAAATGATTTTCGAACCGAAGAGCCCTGGATGAGATAATAATGATTGAGTCCTAGGTTCGAATCAAGCCCTGCACGCAGTGCTGATTGTGATCATATTCTATAGTAGTTTAAGATGTTATGAAACTAGAAGATTGGGTTATTTTTGGTTTACTGAAAATTGATTAAGAATGTTAATTTTGTTTCAGACTCATGGAATACTAAATGCAGTGAGTTGGGGAATTTTGATGCCCTTGGGAGCTGTCATTGCAAGGTACTTGAAGGTGTTCAAATCTGCAGACCCTGCTTGGTTTTATCTTCATGTTACCTGTCAAACAGCTGCTTATATAGTCGGTGTTGCTGGATGGGGTACCGGTCTAAAACTCGGCAGTGACTCGGTTGGTGTTACCTACTCAACTCACAGAGCACTCGGCATCGCTCTCTTCTGCCTTGGAACCCTTCAGGTATGCCCGTCCTTATATTTTCACGATGGGTTTCTGATATTGCAGATAATCACAGTCATATACAGCTGATGCTACTAATTGTAATGCAACTGATACAAACTTCTGGTTTTGAATTCAGGTTTTCGCTCTGCTATTAAGGCCCAACAAAGATCACAAAATCAGAATCTACTGGAATTTCTACCATTGGGGTATCGGATACGCAACGATAATCATCAGCATTATCAACATCTTTAAAGGGTTCGACGCATTGGAGGTGTCTGCAGGGAACCGTTACGATAACTGGAAGCATGCGTACACCGGCATTATTGCAGCTTTGGGTGGCATTGCTGTACTTTTAGAAGCTTACACATGGATCATTGTGATCAAAAGGAAAAAATCAGAGAACAAGTTGTCACATGGAACAAATGGAACAAATGGATATGGTCAGCAGGTGTAGGGTGAGATAGATATAGATACTGGATTTTGGTTTATGAGTTTTATATAATTGAGTTTTGGTGTTTAGACACTTTTTGTGTATATTTTGGTTGTTGCATGAGTGTTGGATTTTGAGTTTTAGATTATTCTTTCATAGGATAGTGAAAAAAAATCCTGGAGTGTGGTTTTTTCCATGCAATTCCAGAGGATTCTGTCTCAGATAAATACATATTTTACTTTTTATTTATTTTTTATCTGACATTATATATTTTCTCTCCAGAAAATTGTTAATTTTTGTGTTTGGTATAAATAGCGTATTTTCTGTGTGTAACTTTATAGATTAATCTCTCGGTCGGCAAAGAACACAAAATACAAGTTTTACCTAAAAATATTTAACTAGTCTACCAAAAACTTACGTAAAGTTTTTTCAAAAACAACTAAAATTTATATTATGATAAAATTTACGGTTAATTTTAATCATTTTTAAATATGATTAAAAAATGAACAGCTAAGATTCGCTGTACATAACATGGCTTGTAACCTTTTTTTAGTAGATTTGACCAAAAGGACTTGTGTATTAAGCTCACTTTTCTCATATATTCCACACCATAATAGAAACTCGGTAGCCCATAGTTGAATAAAATTAATTTTTAATAAATTAAATAATTAATATACATGAATAATATATAGACCAGATACTTGTCTATTAGATAAATATAAAAATATAGATAAAAGGTATTAATAAAAAAACTTTGACCAATTATATATTTTCATATACATACATATTATTTTTATGTATGTATATGTAGTATGATTTATTTATTTTGGACGTATGTATGAAGTATGACTTGTATATTTATACTTTTGAACTCCACTTCTATCATTTTCAGTATTTAATACCTCATGTTCCCTTCTTTTCAAGAGTTTGAAAAACCATAACCCACGCAAAGAAGCATGTGAATTGTTGACTTAGTTAAATTTCACCAGCAAATTGGACTAATTTATTTTTTCTGACGGACAAATTTGACTAACTCATGAAAACTCATATTGTTCAAACTAAAGTGGTTTACTTTGTCTTTATTAGTCTTTAGAGTATTTTAAAATTTAAAATCGCCCCTAAACCCAAGGGAACACGATGATATAGGGGCCCATTTAAGATCAGGTATCTAAAATTATATAAATGTAAAAAAAAAATTGTAATTAATAAATATGAGTATTTTATAAACAGAATTCTTCTTGATGTATGACATATTTTTTTCACTATATTATACATTTAGGTCATTGTTATATGAGACTGATAGTAATGATGTATCACTTTACATGTTGAGGTTGTCTTCAAAAACAAAATTATGACATTATCCAGTCGACAATAATACGTCTAAAATGTATATGCCCGCGCAAGAATATATTTTCATCCTTATTTTAAAATTTAATAAAATACTTAACGAACAATACTAAAAGAAAATCAATCTCAACATTTAATATGACACATAAGAAAATAAATTAAAGTAGTAAAACTAAGTATATTGTTTATACTATTTAAAATTTGCAAAATAAAATATATACCACCAATATGAAATAATTTCTTTATTAAAATTTAGCAAAAACATTGCAGTTCAAATTAGTTTTAAGACAGAAAGTTTAGATTTGACATAATATAAGATACGAAGTAATATAAAATGGTAATGATCATGCATGGTTAAAATAAATAAAATAATAAAAATAAACTAGAATAAAAATTAAATTATACTTTTGATCTTTCTATTTTATCTAATTGACAAGGTTAATTCTTTATTTTAAATTCAACCGTTTTGATCCTTTATTTTAAATTTAAATAGTTTTAATCCTCTTTTCAATAACGTCCAATTGACATTATATATTTTATTAAACTGTACTATAAAACTATTTTATAATTTTAACATGTGCACTAAATTTTTTTAAATTAATTATTAATTTAACAGCTAATTTTACATCACTTTAATTTATTCAATCAGCTTTTATATTATCATCAAATCAAATATAACTTTAATATTTTCTAGCAGACCAACCAAACTACCTAGGTGAGACTTTGGTGGACAGAACTAGTGCTATTCTATGAGGAAAGAATTAGAACATGCAAATGTTCTACCATTTTTGCCAAATTCTCTAACTTTAAGATCGTGTTAAAAGATTAGGCCACTAGACTTGCCATAACACGAACTATACCAGAAAAGAACAAAAGAATCTCAGCGTTACAAAAGACAGAAGCTTTTGGGAAGCTTCTCATAAACCATGTGAAAAAAAGCGAGTTGCATCATTCACTACGTCATGCTGATGCAATAACTAAAATTAAAGAAGATTGTTTTATTTGTATACTAACAAGTGTTCTAAGTATAATTTTTTAGTTTATGATCGTAAATTTTTTAATTAAAATTTATTGTTCAACTTGTATTTAAATATAAATTACCTCATATTCAACTCATTTTAATCATAATCGATTTTACATAACCAATTTTTTTTTCACAGCACATACTTAATATTCTTAATACTAAAGTAATTCTCACTAAACATATAAAACTAGTGCAACAATTTTATCGGATAATATAATATCCAAAATTGAGAGTTTTGATTATTTGAGAATAAGTAAATAATATCACATTTTTCCTAATGAAATAAAAGTACTCCATAAATAATAACTTATTTCAATTTTCACTCCGTTTGGCGCAGAACTTCAACAAGTGCATCCTTCAACGAAGGGTTTGAAGCAGCTATACGCTGAGCTGTTATGTCAAAATCTGCACCAGACCTGAAGCAAACAAAAACATCAAATGTTAAGGTTAGTATGAAGCTTCATGTTTCATAGCTTTCTGTACATCAACCATGATTACATTTATCTTTCCATAACATGGTGACACATGTAAAAGTAAAATAAACTATTTACCTAACTATGCAAAAGACCATCTAGAAATATACATATTCAACTTAGTTAAGAATAAGGTTAAATTATATAAAAGCAATATCAAAGTAACTTACGGATCAAACACAACACCTCCAGCTTCTCTAACAATGACAGCTCCACCTGCCACATCCCTGGAAAGAGAGAGACCATGAACATGTTATTATATGAATCACATAATGAGAATTTTTTTCATCTCTACCATCTTTTTAAAAAGATGCACAAGGGTGTCGTCCATTCAATGGACGGAACTGTCATATTTTTTTTAAGGTGCCGCCCTTTCAATGGGCGGCAGTGACCAAATCTGATTTTTTTTTTTTACGTTTTAATTAAGACACTGCCGCCCATTGAATGGGCGACACCCTTATGCCAAAAAACCAATTTTTTTGAAACTGTGGCATTTTGGTATATATGTATGGTATTTTGAAAATAAATTTTTAAAAAGATGGTAATGATGAAAAAAATTCACATAATGATACCGATAATGCCAAAAAAAAGTTAGAAAGAGGATGAAGTCTAAAAAATTCTAACCTATAAGAGCTATGAAACATGGACATAAAAAATATGACATCGACACTTATTCTTCGACACCAATAATAATTTGAAATAATTAATTAATTAAATATAATTACAAATGTCGGGTTAAGTATCAGACACATGCAGAGGTGTCAGTGTGAAGTCTAAAACTTATATTTAAAATTAGATGCCTTAACCTTTAGGCAAAAGCCTTTTTTAATATGTTATTAGATACTACACATGTCTATTAAGCTTAAATATTTGTGGACCTAATACATAATGGTAGTGACCAAAATTTTATGTAGGAGAAGCTCATACCATGGACCACCAAATCCAATTTCAAAGAATACATCCAATCTTCCACAAGCAATTCCACAAAGATTCAGAGCACAAGAGCCACTCATTCTGAGAGATCTCACCTGACATTAGAAATAGGGTAGTTATCATGACAGAGCAGTTTGTACTTTGTATCATGTTGGTTCAAAAGACTTCATGGCAAGTGTTGGATTTACCTTGTAAAGCAAACTATTAATCCTATTGGTAGTGGCATCTACTGTTTCCTTGTCTCGTTTTGTTCCAACCTGCTCTTTGCAGAATGGTAAAAACTTGATGAATTTCAAATTTTCATTGATTCAAAAGGCAATATATTTAGAAGTAAACCTGAACCAATAATTTAATATTCTGAGCCAAATTATCAAGCATTAGGGAAATCTTACTATTTTTAAGTTCAGCTTAGTATGCAATTAAACACAATAATGCAGGTAACAATGCATGTATACTTAATGGGGATACAAATACAATTTAAAATCGGATTAGTAATTCCAAGTTACAATTTGCTAACTGATCACATTGCAATTTATAACTAAAAAACACATATTATTGGCTAGGGGTAAAAAAGCAAATGAGTTGAGAAATCAAAATGTGATTATTTACATCAAAAACTCATATACTTATAGCAAGAATAAAATGAAATGTCATGATTTTGTTGCTAAGATTGCAAACAACACTCTCATATGATTGATTATAAAGCTTATGAAACACTTATATAGGGAATAAACACAAATTTTGGAGTATCTAAGTAGCACATAGCAATCAAGACAATAGGCACTAATCTAATATGCCTGATCAAAGACGCTTTCAAATCATTTTAGAACATCTAAATGTAGAGGCTTAAATAATTTTTCAAAATTCAATAAAAGCAAGTAACAAAAATATAGATAATTTGAATTCCGATGAATGATTTTCCGAGTACAAATTTTTTTTAAGTAGTAAGAAATCAAGACTCTTCGGAGCAAATTACTGATTTACCAACTGTATTGGAAATATCAAGGTAATGGGTTCACTAGCTACAAACATTTAAAAAGATATACATCTACAGATGTAGAAATTCTAACACAAATGTGTTAAACAAGAATGTCATGTTATGATAGTATCATAGGGATCATCTGCTTAATAGCAAGAGAAACTGACCATCTGATAGAGCAGAGATAAGTAGAAAATGGAAATTGTAGTAACCGAGACAAGAGAGAACTCTCATACAAGACAAGAGCCAAGGTTCCTCGAAGAAAAAATATTCTCTCTGTCTTCCACCACTAAACGGTTTACTAACAGAATGAAAGGGACTTCTATGACCCCACAACTTAGCCCCACACATCGCTTATTACAATATCCTAACTGCCTAGACAGTTGTCATCTTAATTCTCTCTCACTTTTCGTTTCTTATACTTTTGTAGACTCTCGACACCCTGGGCTTTTCGTGCATTAAAGCCCACGGAAACATCCCCTTATAATGGTTTGGACATAGCCAACGCTCTATCACCATCTCACTTAGGTAGCCATGTATATGTCAAACTTATGACATACTAAGATGATGAAAAGGCCACAGACGGCCATACTTAGTGATCATATGCATTAGACTGTCAGGTTATGCATCATTATTATGCCTTTGATTAATCGATTGAACTATTCTCACTTGATGTACATGATAAGGATAGGGAGAGTAATACACTTCATTGATGCAAATAAAAACAATTGAATAGATTTTACGTAATCAATTATTAAAGTCTTGACATACCTCAGTTGCAAGAAGAGAGCTCAATAATTCAGTTTGTGAAGAAACTGTGAAATTCAAGACATAAGTATGACATCTATATTAATAACAAGTTATCAAAAGATGAAAAACAGAGGACACACCTTTTATAGGGTTCCCATTCAAAAAAGCTCCTTTTCCATGGACTGCAGTGAAAAGCTACATACAAAAATCCCAGATTTCAATTTGCATACTGAGCAAGAAAGGAAACTTAATTTTAAATACTATAAAACCCTATTAATGAATCATATTCCAAAATTAATTCCATAAAAGCCTTTCAGAAAAACTTAATGGTTTACTGGTCAACCACAACTACTTATAAAGCATTTTCAAAACGGAAGATTCCATACCTCGTTAATTATTGGATTGTACACAACACCAACTGTTGGAACTTTTCCAATTGTAAGACCAATGGAGACACAAACAAAGGGGAATCTACAAATAGTATAATTTTTAGTCCATCAATACGCTAAAATGTATCCTCAATCACCGTCAACGATAATAAGAATTGATGACTACCCGTGGACAAAGTTAGTAGTTCCATCCAAGGGATCCACAATCCATGTGGGATCATCTGTAAGTTCTGTAGTACCATTAGCAGCCGTGGTTTCTTCGCCAATGAACTAATAAGTTCACAAATATAAATGAACTTCAGAAAATATAAAAAAACCGCAACTGGCAACTGGCAATTATAGTCGCCAATATAAAACATGACTATATCATTGGAGGAAGAGGAGGATGAACCTTATGAGTGGGATAAAGCTGCTTGAGATGATTAAATATTAGTTCTTCGCATGCTTTATCAGTTTCAGTTACCAAATCAACCTGTGCACCACAGCAAAGGTAAAACACTACGAAAACACACCAATTGCAATATTACAGAAGAAAATTGAAATATTATCCGTTTCAGTTACCAAATCAACACCAATTGCAATATTACAGAAGAAAATTGAAAACGAAAAAAAGTATGATTTGCCAAAAATAACATTAGCATTATATGATGGAAGAAAATTAAGCGGAAAGTAAAGTAGAAGAGAGCGGAAACAAACCGATCCTTTGTGTTCGACGTGTTTGATTTGGTAAAATCCTTTTCGAATAACCTGAAAAAAAAAGGATAGAGAATCGATAGTGAAAGATGAAAAGAGAAAGGGAATGGGGAGAGAGAGAGAGAGAGTTGAGATGAGAAAGAGCTAACGTCGCCAGCTTTGTGAGCAGCGTCGACGGCAGATGCGAGGAAATGAGAGAGTGATTCTACAGAGTTCAGTGACGAATCAGTGAGTAATTTCTATACGATTTCTACATTACAAACTGAAACGAAAGAGAGAGAGTAGTACCATTGTTGTCAACCATTTTCTTTGGGAACTGGAGAGAGAGAGATAGAAGGTACGGAAAGGAGATTGTATGAGAGAGGCTGTGCTTTGTTCTTGATTGATCCTTACTCACCTCACCACTGCAAGCACTATTGGAACTTAGCTTTTCTGTTTTGGTTAGTGAAGTGCGGACTCAATCACTAGGTTTTGTTGGATTTTATAACAGGATTTATGATCGAATATACTATTCTCAGTACTTTACTCATGCTTTTTATTATCGTTAAAAAAAAATTTATAAAATAATAATGATGACTTTTTTTAAGATATTATATTTTTTCAATAAAATTTTAATGTGTGATAGGATACATAGCTTAAAATATTTTATACGGAATAGAGTAGGGATGTAAATGAATATCCACGGGGACGGATAGTATGATATCCGTGTCTGTTCTGTTGGATAAATATGATATCTATATGTGCCACATATTCATGTGGATATCAGTTAAGCGGGTAATCCACGTGTTTTAAGATATCCACGAATATTTACAGATATTCATGAATAACTTTTTTTGTCTAAAATATATTTTTTTCGCTCTCAATTTAACAACTAAACTTTATCGTATTATTTTCATTCTTTTTTCACTAAAACATAATAACATTCAAACATAATATCCATACATTTCATTTTTAACAAAATAAAATTCATCATACCATATAATAATTGTTTAAATAAAACAAAAAGTAATAATGCAAATAGTTTTCATCAATCATTACAAAATTCCATATTATGCATTCTTTGCTTAACATTCATACTTTGGTTTCCTAACTCCTAAATTAAAAGCTTAAAAGATTCCAAATAAATATCCAAAATAATAGTGATATTTGTAACCAAATCTTATAAGATACATTAACAATTCCATTCACTAATAATGTCAGCGTCCATATCTTCCAATACTGAATTAATTTCAATAACCTCAACTTTTGATTTGGTCTAAAATATAGAAGAAGTCTAAATAAATATAAAATGACTAAATATGATTTTTCTTGGAATGTGAAAGGTTTTCTTTTTCTTCCAAGAAAACATTAAAATATATATATATATATATATATATATATATATATATATATATATATATATATATATATATATATATATATATATATATATATATATATATATATATATATATATATATATATATATATATATATATATATATATATATATATATATATATATATATATATATATATATATATATATGAAAAGACTAATGTTGTGAATCGGATACCTTTAAACAAAGTATAAACGGTATCCTATTCACAACAAATTGGTGCGGTGAGCGTGGAGAAGATGCCTTCAACAAAGTATGAGATTGAAAAGTTCACCGGAGTGAACGACTTTGGTCTGTGGCGCTTGAAGATGAAAGCCCTATTGGTTCAGCAGGGTTGTTTGGAAGCGTTGAAGGGTGAGGCAGCCATGGACGCTGCGTTAACGACAAAAGAAAAGACGGGCATGATCGAGAAAGCCCACAGCGCAATATTATTGAGCCTTGGTGATAAGGTTCTTCGACAGGTATCAAAGGAGACTACAGCATCGGGATTATGGGTGAAACTTGAAAGTTTGTACATGACCAAATCTCTGGTGAATCGACTATACCTGAAGCAAGCTTTATATTCATTCAAGATGAGTGAAGACAAAGTGTTGGCTGAGCAGTTGGATATGTTCAACAAGATGATTCTTGATCTTGAAAATATTGATGTGAAGATCGATGATGAAGATCAAGCACTATTACTGCTGTGTGCTTTGCCCAGAACACATGCTCACTTCAAAGAAACTCTCTTGTATGGAAGGGAGTCCCTGACCTTTGAAGAAGTTCAATCAGCCTTATATTCTAAGGACTTGAACGAACGAAAGGAGCATAAACCTTCGACGGTGGGCGAAGGTTTGGCCGTTAAGGGAAAATTCTTGCGAAAGGATGGTAAGTTCGACAGGAAAAAAGGTAAAAGTCAACAGAAGTCTTATAGTGGCGAAACATCTAGTATTCGATGTTACCACTGTAAGAAAGAGGGACATCTATTTATCAAGTAATGCGTGTTGTAGTCGAAGTTTGTTCTAACAACTAAATTTCTTGGAAGATGTAATGACGTCCATAATAAATTAAAAATATTTAAATATTTTTTATAATTTATTAACGGGTATGAATATCCGCGGGTACGAATATCATTAAACCTGCATCCACATCCATTAAATAACGGATATTTAAATATCCATTTATTTTATCCATGGATATCCATTAAGCTATCCACATTGTATCCGTGACGGATTATATCCACGGATACCCGCGGGCACGGGCTTTTTTGCCATCCCTAAAATAGAGTTTGTTGAACTACTACAAAATATGTCATTAGTTAAAGTAAATGGTGAAGAACTTATATGGATGAGTCTAAATATTTTAAATCAAGGGGTTACACTTTTTTCTTTTTATGGGTGTTTCTGCATCAAGTTATATATATTTTTAGCGTTTAGAGATGTATTTTCGATTTTTTTTTATTTTTCAGTGCAAATGATAAAAAGTTTTTGTTTTAACAAAAATTAATCTAAAGATACATCTTTGTATGTGTATGAGGTATTTTTGAAAATACATCTCCGTAAATAACATTAATTTTAAATTTAGTGGGTGATACGAATATGAATCTTTGGACGGTGTTAATACATTAACTCACGCCAAACTCTTCCCTCTTCCTCTTTCATTTGTCTCAAAATTTATTAAACTTTAAAAAAAATTATTAGTGTTCTTCCTCAGCCATTCAAGTTTCTCATCCAATCAAATTTCTTACTGCATTCTACTTCATTTGCTGCAAACCTTCTGACTCCAATCAAGCTTCTTTTCAACAACCTAGATTTGGTAAGTTTTTTTAAAAATCATTCCTTTTTGTGTTTTGAATGAATTTTTAGGAAAAATAAGTTGCTTAAAGGACATGCATTAAAAGTTTTTTGGAGTTTAGGATTGTAGTGACGTTTCTGCCATTTTTGCAAAATCGTAGCTTTGTACAGAGATATATCTTCGGATTCTTTCTGAATTATTTTTGGAGATGTATAACCAGATTTGGACATGGCAGAATTTTGGTTGCAATTTTTATTTGCCTATTTTATTTTATCGCATGTGCAATGGCTGAAAATAACCCTGACAGAATAAGGCTTAGACGTGTGTCCCAAACCGCGTTTGTATGACGTGAAAGGGTCGTTGCAGCCAGAACCACGAGACCATGAGTTTGTGAAACCTCGTTTGATGGTTCACAACGTCGAGGTTCCCAACCATCTAGTTCTACTTCATGTTGCCGCCTGTCTCATGTCTATACTTCACGGTGCAACAATTGCCTAGATGATGAAACAAGATATGAAGCCCATAAAGGCCAGGAGGAACCCGCTACTAATTCCCCTTTAGAGAGTTATCGATGAGACATATTTGACACCTCCTTACTGCATCTCTATGCATACCATGATGTTAGACATGTCTAAGAAGGAGAGGTATATTTATTTACTTTTATATATGTTTACATATGTTTTAAATTAATGGAATTGCAACTGATGGTGATATTTTTATAGGAGCGTACATGTTTGAAATTGATAAACCGTGGCAGAAAGATATTGAAGTTGGAACAACCCACTGCAGAATGGTCCAAGGATGTTATTTGTTATTTCGGTCTTGTCGAATTAAGTGTTGATGCGTACATGACCATAAACCATGGCATGCAGGTGAAATTTGCAGAGACGTGGCATGCATAGACGTCATATTTTCACCTACCTATTAGCGAGATGACGATCACCCAGGATGACGTCACATGCCTCCCGCATCTTCCCATCAAAGGAAAATTATTTAGTCATAAAAGGATAGGTTGAGAGGAAGATGTCGAGATTATGGTCACTCATTTGGGGGCTGACCCAACTAAGGCCTCCAATGAGGTAGCTGACACAATAGGTGTTTGTCACAATTGCGAAAAAACAACCGGTGGAGAACAGAAGAGTCGCCACCTTTCGTTATTTATCTCAAAGAGAGGGAAAGGAAACGATCGGAAAAACCTGACAAAAAAGGGAAAGACAAGGTCATTGCAACCATGTCTGGATTCGGGAGTCAGTTACGCAAGGGGAAGGTATTAGCACCCCTCACGTCTGTCGTACTCGACGGGATCCATGCATTGTTGTCTATCTAAAAGGGTGATCAATCTATCTACACTAATGGTCAAGGGACAAAAGCAAAAGAAAAGAGAAGTGACTCGGCAGAGCATCGCCGCTCTGTGTCTACGTACTCCCTCGTGCAATGGGAAAGTCAGAGTCAACGTAGTTCGACTAACTACGGGTAAAAGGGGAAAGGTTGCTCGCCAAGACATCGCGTCTTGTGCCTACGTACTTTCATCTGGTATGAAAGATCAGAACAAACGTAATTCGGGCTAAAAGGACCACAGGCTGGTTCAAAAAGTTTTTTAGGCCCGAGTAGGGTTAACAAGTAGTTCTAACAGTTGGTGTATGCAGCTCGACCATTGGAGACTTAGGCGTTACCGTTTGCGGTAGAACTAAAAGTTAACAACACTCTTTTTATCTGAAAAGATTTTCCTGATTAAGATCCCGAAGGATGAAAAAGATTTGAAGTGTTTTTGTGTTTTTTTAGAGAAGAAGTGTTTTGAACTTGATTTGCAACTCATGTCGCACTAGAGACTATGACCTAAGAGCGAATGCGTCGTATATCACCCAAAGGGTGTACACTAAACACTCTAGGTCATTGAGAGGAAGCCCCCCAATCACCATTTCTCAAGTAGCTTAAGGCTCGTAGCGTACAACATTTGTCATTCTTTATTAAGTGTTTTATGAATGTTTGAAGATGAGAAGAGAAGAAAGGACACTAATGGGAGACTAACCAATCCTAAAAGTTATTATGCAAAGTGGACTTAAAGTTGGGATTCCAAGGGAACTACCTAATGTTATCATGCATGGTTAGGCACCTAATATTTGTCATAATCTCAAGAGGTTAGAGAACTTAT